AGTGAGAGGTGGCGCATACGAATATTTCCAAGGACATGTCCTTGTTTGGTGCGGATTTTTTTTTTAAGAAAAATGACAAACTTTTGCAGAGGGGTGATTTGTGGGTACTGGTGCAGGCCTGGGTAGAGAGGCCACTGTCGATCAACTCTGGTATACTATGACCAGGAGACAAGTGGGTAGGACAAGATTTACGTACCGCACTGGGTGACGTAGTTGCAAGTATATGTGCGGAGACAAGTTACTTACAGTAGACAGAATAGACAAGGTATGACACACCTGAAGGGGAACCCTTATTGTGCAGATAAAAATTCTGCTATGGACACAAGTGTCCATCAACAAGTTGTTTTTTTTACTCCGAGGATTTTACGCACACAGAGCTCTTTACATGGTGCTCACGTCAATACAATAGTACAAATCCATTTTAGGTGTCAGAGTGGAGACACAGACGATAAGATATCCAGTAGATAACATGGTGCTGGGGACATCAATCAGTTACAATCGAAAACTTTGCTGTGCGCTGACGAATATAACGCAAACAATTATGAGGCAGTGTGAAGGTGACCAGGACGTTTTTGTAAGGTGTGTTAGCGTGCGGTGTGGGGGACTAATAGTAAAGTGCTAGTGTATCTAAAGTATGGTGCGTTCGAATGAATTTATTTATGATCTCACCCTCAGATATATACTGATGGTGTTTGTACTAGAGTTCAACCACTTGGGCTGTCCAGGGTAAAAACTCATTTGATCAGTATGAGAAACCTTACGCAGAACACTTTAACACTTCGATGCTTTTCTATTTCAACATCTCTGCAGCCAAATCTCACGCTGATCACATGATGCCTTTCCGCATAGGTTGTGACTTACATAGAACCGCAGCTATTATTAATATGTTGTGGTTGACAGGCTTAATCCACTCTCGGGAATCGGTTAAGAAACTTAATCTGCTCTCGGAAGTCGCTTAAGTAATGACTCAACTCTTGGGGGTAATTTAAGCAACTTGATTAGCTCTCGGGAGTGAGCTAACTCTGATGACTTCCATAAATCAAAGATGATTTCATTGATTTCTTGATGTAAAATCTGGCCTGAGCTAAACCCTAAACCCTAAAAACCCTAAAACTCTCGTAAGAAAACAAAAGAAAGCAAAAACACCATAGTGGTGCAGCTATATATCTACACCTATACCTCGTCATATGGTATCTAGCTCTCCATCCCATTAACATAGGCTGGCTAGAGGGGATCATTTTCATGCTCCATTTCTCAGTGGATTATCTTGCGCTGAGAGTTGGCAATACAAAATGTGTCATCAAGTGTCAATTTCATTTGAGACTTTCCACTTTTATAAATATACAATATTCTGGTGGAAATCTTATCGCTATAGAAAAACCACCAACATTAAATATCAACAGAGTCTCAGTTCTCTGTTTTATACATTTGTATTTCCAAATAACTAGTAAATATACTATTTGTTCGTTTGTTTGTTCTCTGCATTTCGATATATCTAAATTTAGATTATTTGATTATATTGCATTGACATTATCTACAATCGCGTTTCAACGTATACCAGGTTTCATAATAGTATTGCGTTTCAACGTTAATACGTTTATAATGTACGTTTAACATGCACTTCTACTATAGAAACCCGCTGTACCCCCCCCCCCCCCCCCTTCCTCCCTTCAGCTTGGAAATTCCAATGTTGGCCTATATGTGTTTTGAGGCACATAGTCTCAAAAAGCTTACACGAATTGTACAAGCGAAAAGAAAAAACGGGTTTCGATTATATAATTGCCTCAATGCTTATCTATATTTTCATTACAGTAGTGGACATATTTCTATATACGTTAATAACTTTTTACGTCGTCAGCCCGAGAGTAATTTGGGACTTGTTCTCAAATTAATATAAGTATAGGTGGGTCAGCCCGAGAGAACGTAAGAGTAATTTGAGACTTCTTATCAGATTATTCTATTTATAGGACACGGGCCACCGGCTAGCCGAGAGCCGAGGTCCGAGACTGACTGAGTGTAGTAACAGAGAATATGATATATTTATTTCTAGAAAATATATCCGAGTGCTAAAGTGTTCTGCATAATGTTTCTCACACTGATCGTATGAGTTTTTACCCTGGCCAACCCAAGTGGTTGAACACTAGTACAAACATCATCAGTATATAACTGAGGGTGAGATCATAAATAAATGTATTCGAATGCACCATACTTTAGATGCACTAGCACTTTACTATTAGTCCCCCACATACCACGCTAACACTCATAGACAAAGCATGCTTAGACTTTATAAGTTACTCGGTTACTTTAAGACGTTTGTGTCTAGGTCCTTGTGGTCCTATCGACAATGGATAGGACGTTTTCTTAGTGCCTTTCGGAGGTACGTACATTCCATGATCTATAAAACTTGGAATGAAAGATGTCTGTGGATAAACCTTGACTACATGAGGACGGTAAGATAGCATCATCATCAGCCTTGTACTTGTGTAGGCGTTTGCGAAACTCCTTATCAAAAGCTTTTAGTAAGCCTGGATCATCAAATAGTGATAGATCGTATTGTACTCCATCTTCAAACTTCATTGTGGAATGAGTCATGTCATCATTGATGTTTGTACTTAACGAGAATCTTCTTAAACCCGTAAGACATAAGAGGTGTAGTAGCTTCACGTGCGCGACGAAAGATAATTTCTGTCGTCGGAATGCGATGTGTCCGATATTAAGAGCGCTCGAACCGTCAACATTGATAACTCCGTATGTTCCTATCTTTTTATCGGCCACTGAAATCATCTTGATTGGTCCAATATACTTAGCCGTGAGCACAGTTGTGTCGGAATTGCGAGCCATTATGTTGACTATATCGCCTACCTCAAACTCGACTATCTTCTTTGAATCATTCCATCGCTTCTGTCTCTTCTTGAATGCGATGTCCTTCGTCTCCCTCAAACAAGGAAAGGCTACGTCTCTGGTACGACGCATATTCTATGACCATAGTAACATATGATCTTCCTGAGAATCCTTGTTGAAAGGTACTTGTAATCCACTATAGCGGCCCCTGAAATAGCGAGCGGGCGGTGTACCAGTGACTGAACCCGCTTCTCGTTCATTTGTGTCTGTACCCAAATAATTGAGTAAGGCCACATGTCAGCATCTTCTAACAATGCTTTACGCATGAACTCCTTTACCTTTCCGTGTCGCACCTCATTCACACCTTGTGTCTGAGACTTGTAAGGTACACACATTTTATGGCATCCTGCAACGAGCAATAGCGTCGTCATGGTGTCGCCTTTAAACTCACTGTTGTTGTCAGAACATACTATAGCTGGCCAGTCGAAATGTGCGAAACACATAAATGAACTTTCGTGTGTTCAGACGTTGATAGCTAAACCAGATCAATGATAACCCGGCGCCACGGCTCGTCTTCAGATACGCTTCGTAACGGGGCGCATCCTTAGCGCTTGATCCGGTTAGCTTCGCAGCTGTTGCATTCGTGGTACATGAGATATATACTGTTTGAGGTTTGGATGTATAATCCCGTACCTCCTGCAATCATTCTCAGTCATATACTTATCCATGTCTTTAAGCGCACGATTCTGCCTCAACCAGAATAACTTCCTCCGAAGGATTTACAATGACAAGTTCGGAGGTGAGGATTCCACTACTTCATTACCTGGACTTGAAGACTTTTCTACCGTATGCATTCTACTAATATCCGACATGTCCATTAGTTGAGTTACATGTTCGTATACATCCGGAAAATCGTTCATCAATTGGTTGAGTTGTAATCTTGTCTCGGCCTCGTATACAGTTGCTCTATCTGAACGTATCTTCTTGTAAGATGTCTTCGTTAGTGACATGCTCCTCCCTGCTTCTGCAGGACTAGATCGTACCTTGGTACCGCATACTGTGGAATCTTGGATTTTTCAACCTTACTTTTAAAGGTCTCAGATTGTGTCCGCTTGGTTGTTCCAACAGGACCTATTCGACATATTATTGTATGTCGCCAAGGCGTTTTTTGGACAGCACTGGTACCCTAGTAGAGGAAAGTATCTACCACTCTATCCACATATATGAGCTTATATCGTATCATTGAGATCAACTGTGGTAGCCATTTATCTGAATGTCTTAAGGGACAACACAACGTGATGGTTGCACCTTGTATGTGTACATAATCGAGCAACTGTGGTATCAACAACCACGGTGGATTTGCCCATGCGTTTTCATCTGTTAAGTCGATTTGAAACGCAACATCTTCTGGATGTTCCAGAGTTCAGTATCTCGGCGGTTGCGTATTATGATGAGCTGCAAACATATCAATGGTATGTGGACCATATATGTTGTCTGCGATCTTGAATCATTCAGGATTGGCCATCCAATCCGTAGCTAGTAACTACCGAACCACCTTGTCGAAGTCCGGTACGAAGCGTGACAGCATGTGAATTTCCGGAATATGTGATATGACAAATGATAATTTTGCGATAGTGTCGTGCTATCAACTAACCAACTGTGAGTTGGGTTTCATGTTCTTTAGGTGTTGCAACGACTTCTGATCGCACAGTACGTTAAAGTGTGTACCGTATAAGTAATCCTTGAAATGAGTGAGTGCAGTCACAATAGCTAGAAGCTCTTGTTGCACCGTTGGGTAGTTGATTTGTGACGAATTCATAGCCCTGCTAAAGAATTGTACGTATCTCGGTAGCACGCCTGCCAACGCCATGTAGGATGCGTTTGTCGCTACCCTGAATGATATTCCATCTTTCGGTGGCTGGACTACTGGTGCCTGTTGAACCACTATTTTGAGCTGCTCAAAGGCATCATCACATTAAGCCCCCTTAATTTACCCTTGTGACATCGTAAAAGTCCGAAAGGTTTTAAATAACTTGCCAGGTGAGAAACTCTATCTGACTGAGAGACTACAGGTCTCAGACCAACTTTGCAGCAAGAAGCCCACTTTAATTTATAGAAGTTATTAGAGTTAGCTCATTCCCGAGAGCTAATCAAGTTGCTTAAATTACTCCCGAGAGTTGAGTGAATACTTAACCGACTCCCGAAAACAGATTGAGTTCTTTGACCGACTCCCGAGAGTGGATTAAGTCTGCCAACCACAACATTCTAACAATAGCTGCGTTCCTATGTGAGATACACTTATGCGGAAGGGTATCATGTGATCAGCGTGAGATTTAGTTGCAGAAAAGTGTGTATACTTCGAAGTGTTAAAGTGTTCTGCAAAAGGTTTCTCATACTTACCATATGAGGTTTTACCCTGGTCAACCCAAGCGGCTGCACACTAGCATAAACAGCTTAGGTATACTACCAACGGTGAGGTCAGAAATAAATACATACATTTGCACTTTATTTAAAGTATACTACATTACGCTCTAACAACATTGTTATTGGGTCCATCAGAACCTTGCATGTGCTTGTTCTTCTAACCACCTTTGTCTCCACCCTTTATAATGCTTCTTGCCACACGATGAACTCGAATGCTTCGTAAAGGTCTGATCTGATCTCGAAATAAATTTAGTTAAAGTTAGAACAGCCAGTTTCATGTTACCATATGTTGGTCCTTCGATTGAAATCTCGCGTACCTTGTCTGGATAAGATTGATGGATGTCTTCATACAACACTTCCTGATTCTTTCTCGTAGACCAGAAACATGTTTGTACCCAGAGCACACACATGTTCAACTTATCAGGTGACATCTCCTGAGTTTGGAGACGGGATCGATGTGTGTTCAATGTCAAGAGGTAGTGAGACACTGGCGTTCCCTCGTCCAGCGGTACCATAATAGAACCAACAACTCCGGTCTAGGGTCCGTCGAAAACAAATGAACAATAATCTCGCTCTGTTCCTTCCACGTTTTCAACTTCTTAATAGCAGCTTTATCTTTCTTCAATTTATTATACTTATAAGATGATGGCTTAAAACTCGATGTGCTGATTCGAACCAAAGGTTCTTACGTAGGCTTGTTTGCAGTAAGCATGATTTGATCAAAAACCTTGAAAGATCTAGATGACGACGCCAAATCACTAGTATCGAAAGGGTCGTTTAAGTCTTTTCGATCCAGTCGTTATGTAGTTGATATCAAACTTATCTATAACCTTAAAAAACCCTTTGCCTTCCCACAGTCTTCTCCGTTTTAATAACTCGCAGTTCTGCACCAATCTAAGACTGAAAGTGCGTAGCCCTAGTTAAATATAGACTGGTTGTATCTCCCCGTTTTTTATTCATCGCCAGGCTAACAGATGCGGCTTCTCTTTGTTTGTTCGGAATCAAACTGTTCTGATTGAGGCTGGCCATGCAGTCCCTTTTCCGTCTAATGAATCAATCCTTATGGATCCTCAATTGCGATTGTTGTTAGCGAGTATCATCAGATTGTGAATATGACTGTTACCCCTATCCGGTAGAATCGGCAATATTAGTTGATCTCGCCGGTGGATGCTCCAGATGCTCTCATTTTGATACCATGCGTGATTGTACAGTCAAGGCTTCTCCTTTACCCACCGGTGTACTCGACGGCTCGGATGATTTTGTCCTGAGCATTGATGATTCACCTCGGTCAGATATAATTTTTTAAACTAACACCGCTTCATGTAGTGTCAACGGCGTCGAAATCAATTGCGGGATGTCTGTAAGTGCGTCCCTATTTGCACACCAAGCTCGAAATTGGCGGAATAGTTTTCGGTCTCGCTTACCTTGCTCGCCATCTCGTTTCAACGTTTCAGAAAATTTACTATTTCTAAATAGTTCGTATCCGAATTACTGTAAAATCAACGGGTTCCGAATAGTAGAAGCACATGATAAACTTATATTATAAATTATGAAACTTTTAGGGTTTAGAACTGGTATACGTTGATACGCAATTGTAGGTAATTGTAAGATTCAAAAAAATCAAATAGTCTGTTTTTTTTTTAGAGTGGAGACTCTGTTGAAATTATTGTTAGTTGGTTTTCTATAATGATATGTTTTCTACCGAGATATTGGCATAATAAATATCCCAGAGTCTCAGGTGGTTACATTTCTGAATACTTTCAGCTCAAGATAATCCATTGAGAAATAGGACAAGGTAATGATTCTTCCTCCTAGCCAGCCTTATAGATGTGCCCGTTTGTGCCTTTAATGGGATGGAGAGCTAGGTACCAAGCGATGGGGTATAGGTGCAGGCATTTTAGGGATCCGCCTGTTAAAATCGGCATAGCATGCATTCGAAAGGATAAACGTGAATAAAAATAAAAATAGCAGTCTGAAATCGGAAGGTAGATTGTATACCCATCGTGGATCGTGTAAGTTCTAAATGAGCATATTGCAAACACGCATAGATAATTATCTCGGGATTATCAATTTGCGAACGAGATTATTGACCGCCTACTATCACCATCGTATATAAATCCTGAATGACATTTAAATTCTCAAGAACCCGCCTGAAACAAGCCGCAATTCCATCAAAAGCTTATCGATTGCTTTGAGAGACTCGGCACGAAGCCGAACTTTAATTCGCCTACTATATTCAGTCGGATGATGACGGTTCTGTAGTGGAGGTTTGTGGTCGTCTGGATCCCAATTCGACGCCTTCAAGCTGCATAGAGGACAAGTTCGAAACCAACTGTATTAGCAATATAAGCTGGCAAACAAGACACTGCACACTGGTATAAGTGGTCGAATTCGAAAGCACAGCTGGATCATTTGCACTTCAATCTACGAAATTGGGAATCTCAGTAAGCACTCTTAATCTATTTGATGTCTCCGGTGCAAACCAGCGTATATTGTCCCAGTGAAAAACAAATAAGGGTTTAGGTTTACGAGTTCATTGACACAACGTACACGTGACACACCGACGCAAGTTGATGTAAGCGCTCCTGCGCTATACGCAAGGCATTCCCGTGGTCGTCATTTCTCAGCGCCTGGAAATATTGAAACCGAAAAAGTTGATAAATAGATGATATAATCGGATATGATAATTTGAATTGCTGGAATCCCTTGGAACATCACCAAACAGTGGAAGGTGCTATAAGAGGCAAAATAAGCATTACAGATTGTCGAATTCTTACGTACTCCGCAGCTCCTGAAGATAATTAGCCGAAGTCAAAGCATACATATGCATCCAAGCCCTGATACTACACAATAGATGGCCATAATCCTGAAACGACCGACCTATTCCTGAGTTCCATCATACCAATATTATAGCAGACAACACATCCGTCTCCTTCCCATCAGCCCCAGAGCTCTGCCTACTCCACCTGCCGTCTGCGTGCGCCGAGTAATCGACTGCCCCAAATGCCATTGTCGCAGGCCCATTCACAGGCACAGCCGCAAGCCACGAGTTGTCCATCGATCTCGTACAAGCCCGTTTAGAAGAGATATACTGCTCCCTGCCCAGCAACGAGTCTCCATTGTCCGATGTTTCATATAATGGGTGCATACTCACCGGAACTGTCTGGTCTCGTCCGGTTTTCAGCAACGTCGGGCTCTGTGCGTGTGCCTGCCTTTGCACGCTCGTTCTTTCATCAGCCTCTGCGCGAGCAGCGGCGCTATTTTCCGCGTGCGCCAGCGTGTGATGTGTACCATCCGCCTCAGTAGAGTGTGAGTATCTGCCCATGCTTGGCGAGCCACCAGGTGTGGGTGTGGGTGCGGTAACTGATGTAGCCGCGTCGCACAGGTCATGCTCGCGTCGCAACCCACCATGGCCTAGGGTCAGCAGTGCTGGTGGTGTCGTTGGCGCCTGTGTATCTGTCTGTGCTGATATCAGAGGTGCACGTAAATGGGTATTGGGCGGCTCTCCCGCTACAGAAACACCTCGCCCCATATGCTTGTTTGGGCCTGAGATGTTTGCGTTGTTTGAGGTATTTGAGTTGTTTGAGTTGTGTGAGGCGTTTGAGGTATTCGAGTTGTTTGAGTTGTGTGAGGCGTTTGAGGTATTTGAGTTGTTTGAGTTGTGTGAGGCGTTTGAGGTATTCGAGTTGTTTGAGTTGTGTGAGACGTTTGAGGCATTTGAGTTGTTTGGGTTGTTTATGTTGTTTGAATAGTGCTGTAGAGTGGCCCCGTGTTTGTGCAATTGTGCGTCTTGGGATGCTGCTCGCATGTGCTTGGTTGGTCGGCGGGAGATCTCTTTGAGCTGCTGCAGATCCAAGTCGCGCGTGGTACCGAACTCCGCATCCACCGGTTTTTGCTGGCGCTCCATTTCGAACCCCACAATACCCACTGTGCAAAGAGGAATGCTCAGGGCAGTCAGCAAATGGTATCAACACATTGGTGTGTGTGACATCATTGGTGCTATCATTGATTGTGTTGTCTGACCCCCCCCCCATGCCTACTGTTTAAATGTGGACGGTTAGGGTAGCTAGCAGATAATCACATTGTTCAAACCCGCGCAACAAACATCAAGACTATATAAAACCCGGTCAATGCAAAGTATACATCTGTCACACACTCTCAGTATCGTGCACACCTTTAAACATGCCAACCCAAGTCTCTCACCACATACACTAGAACTAGTACATGCCAGAACTAATTTTCTCACTGTCACCCATCGGTTAGACTAATACACACCACAACTCATTCCTTAATTAAAAACTCCTTGTCCACTCACCCGCAGCTGCAAAGAGAAACGGACTCAACCCCGGAATAAAGATACAGGTATTGATATCGGAAACCACAGGGAACCAGTCTACAGATAGGTCAACTCTAAAACGCACAGTTAACGTGATACTTTCTAATTCATGTACATTGTCGCAGTGAAGCTTAGTGTTATGTCAGAGCAGATCTTTACCATTCACATCTCGTGTAAAACGGAAACACAACGAGTTCAACAACTCACATACAAAATTCTCGTGACATGTCCACCACCGCAGCGGCAGAGGGCAACGCAGACAGCAAATCCGTCCCCGCACTCAGTCCCGGTATAAAAGTACCGGTATCAATACCGAAATCCCTAGGACTTACACCAGCCTTGGTGCTAGTCTCAGCGCTGGCTTCTGAATCACCATCAGCACCGCTAGCGCTGCGAACTGTCGTACTGTGGTGGGGAGTTGTCGTTTTGTGGTGGTGCGAGGTCGTATTGTGGTGGTGAGAGGTCGTACTGTGGGGATGAGCTGTGTACTACGGTAATGAATTGTCGTACTGTGGTGTTGAGTTTTGTACTGTGGGTAAGACAGGGCGTCAAGAAGAGAAATGCGGCCCAGAGGTATCCTGACAGGGCGAATTGAGCCACGAGAAAGGAAAAGCCCCAATCGGCACACTTCGCAATGGTATGTCGATAAGCACATCAAAGTACGAATATTTCGGTACTTACGACTTCCAGAACGCTCACACAATACGACGCAAACCGGCAGGAAGCATTCCAAGAAGAACTGTGCACTGAAATAGGACAGCCAGTCTGACCCACGTGGTGTCCAGAGGGGGAGGATTTAACTGCCACAGTGGCATTGTAAGGTTGTGTGTATCTTGTCCGAGGGCGAGGCATGCACGAGGCAACCCGCACAGACATCCTGCACCCGCCCTGGGTTGGCGGTTTACTTTAGTGTATATCGTCAACAGAGAGCTAGGCATGCGTGCATGCATGCGGCAAATGCCGTATATGCGTAATACAGGACCAATGAATCTGGTGCCGTTTGAGAGCGAGCAGCCCCGAGGAACCTTTGTGCCATAAAAACAAGCCACTGACGCGCCAGAAGACAGTTCAACTCAGTTGTACCACGCGTTATATACACACAAACAGCTGTTTCATTCCAACCGATAGAAAGAGATATATCCTTGCCATCACACACATCTATACACACACAAACAGTTGTATTATTCCAACTGATAGATAGATATATATCCTTGCCATGACACACATCCATACTCATACGCTGGTGTACTAAGGCCACTCCATCCGGTAATACCTGTCGATGATGACATGTTCCGTTCCAACCGGTGACAGTATTCTGTCCATATTTGGTTTATTGTACTCTTTGGCGGTAGCAAAGTCTTTGGCAAACACGCGCTGGAGAATCTTATCACACTCCTGGGCTGCGTCTGCGATCTCATCCCCACTGAACACATGGACAGAAACAGTTGAACAGCAGAGGATATGCCCCAAGTGATACTATAGCATGGTCAGAAACAGTTGAACAGCAGAGGTAATGCCCCAAGTGATACTATGGCATTCTGTGTGTAGGTACGGGCGAGACAACACACAACAAAAACCCACAACCACGTCTACATACCTCCCTCGGGTGGCGAAGGCCAAGAAACCATGCGACACGTTGGGGCAAACCGTCAACGTCACCTCATTGCCCAGCATGCGTAGTCTATTGGCAAAATCTGTGTGTGTACCAAATTGTATGGTACAAGTTGTATGGTAAGGTGTCTGTCCTAAATTTTAAGGTATAGATTGTGTATGGTATGGTGCTTGTCCCAAATTGCATGGTATAGGTTGTGTGGTAAGATGTTAGTCCCAACCTTTAGGGTATGGGTTGTATGGTACGGTGTTTGTACCAAATTTAGGGTATATTTCGTATGTTAAGGTTCTTCTCCCAAATTTTAGAGTATACGGTGTATGGTAAGATATTTGGCCCAAATTGTAGGGTATACGTTGTGTATGATAAGGTGTATGTCCCAAATTGTACGATTTAGGATGTGCATGGTAAGATATTTGCCCCAAATTTCAATATATAGATTGTGTATGGTAAGGTGTTTGTCCTCAATTGTATGGTTTAGGTTGTGTATGGTAAGTGTATGTCCCAAATTGTACGGTATAGATTGTATGGTAAGGTGTTCGTCCCAATTTGCAGTGTATGGGTTGAATGGTAGGCTGTTTGTACCAAATTTCAGGGTATGTTTCGTATGGTAAGGTGCGTGTCCCAAATTTTAGGGTATAGGCTGTATGGCAAAGACACGGAATGGGATATAACTGTAAACTCGGAGGAACTATAAGCCGAAGCAGATTATTGAGTTCCAAAGATGAACGCCATGCGCCAAAACAAATTTAGTCAGCTCAACACAAATGCGACTTAACCGTATATACGTAAACAAACCACGTAAGAGTGCTTGTATACGTATATTCAGGCATATACACAGTGCGAGCTTTGTTACACCACTGCGACACAAGCACGCTAAGATGGAGCAACCCCACGAAAGTCTCAAAAAGACACGTTATATACGTTAAATAACTTCGTGGACGAAGCGAGTATGTACAAAGATATCGAAAGTCTGTGCAACAGAACAATACAACACACCACAGCATGTGCACGCCACAAAGTATACGCACAGTCTATGCGACTAACAACACCACACACACACATGTACGCACAGTCTATGTGACCAACAACCCCCCACACACATATGTACACACAGTCTATGTGACTAACAACACCACACACACAAATGTACACACGGTCTATGTGACTAACAACACCACCACACACATGTGCGTACAGTCTATGTGACTAACAACACCACACACACACATGTAAACACGGTCTATGTGACTAACAACCCCCCACACACACATGTACGCACAGCCTATGTGACTAACAACATCACACACACACATGTAAACACAGTCTATGTGACTAACAACACCACACACACAAATGTACACACGGTCTATGTGACTAACAACACCACCACACACACATGTGCGTACAGTCTATGTGACTAACAACACCACACACACACGTGTACGCACATCCTTCTACCGCTCTGTCTAACGAGAGGTCTAAGTGAATACTATGGATACTATATGCGTCGTGAAATCGTGGCGCACAGTGAGCCTCGCAGCAGCAAACTGCGACAAGGGAGATACACCACACCACTCAGGGACAAATACACTAACAGGATAGTCCAAACACTTCGATGGACACGGACACAAACACAGATGGCCAGGCGAACAAAGAGACGCACACGCGCACAGACACTCACCAACTGAACAGTCCAGCAAGGGATCAAACACGGCAGCGACGATGTAGGTCGGGGGCAGATGCTTCAGCAGAGCGGCGGGTGCCAACCCAGGCGACAGAAACGGGTCCAAGGGCTGTGGGGGTGACTGTGGCAGCAGTTGAACAGACATACACATAACAACAGATCAGTCAGACATGTGCATGGGTGACAGACGGGTCTAAGGGCTGTGGGGGTCACTGTGGCAGCAGTTGAACAGACATACACACAACAACAGATCAGTCAGACATGTGCATGGGTGACAGACGGGTCTAAGGGCTGTGGGGGTCACTGTGGCACTAGTAGAACAGACATACACACAATATCAGATCAGGCAGACATGTGCATGGGTGACAGACGGGTCTAAGGGCTGTGGGGGTCACTGTGGTAGCAGTTGAACAGACATACACACAATATCAGATCAGTCAGACATGTGCATGGGTGACAGACGGGTCTAAGGGCTGTGGGGGTGACTGTGGCAGCAGTCGAATATTTATACACACAATAACAGCTCAGTCAGATATGTGTATGGGTGACAGACGGGTC